GTGCGAAGTAAAAATTACTGTAATAGCGTAAAATTTCGGGTATTATATTTTAACGAAAATATCCATTTTGACGGCTCGCGTATCGACTTAAGTGATGTTTATGCATGACATCTATTTACGTATGGACAGAGAAAAGGAATCTTGTTTTCAAAACGGATTGTAAAATGGATTTAGAAAAGATATTTTTGGGACCTCTGTACGTACTTTCGCATGTATATATATATCTCGCATGACTCAAAAAAACGAGAAGCCGTAGAACGTTGAATATTTATGTATGGGACTTCTGAACGCTGCTCAAGTGGACTGCCGCCCTTAACTATAGTAAGCCTTACGGTATTTGTTTCCACTTGGCAGATGCTGTCTAATCATGACTCGCTGATCCGACAGCATTGTATGGAACTGCTATAACATCTAGCTGTGCATCTCACTTTTTCATTGCAATCGGTCCCACCAAACATATATAATATCTATATATATATTTCTACTCTCATATCAGGATCTATGAGCAATATGTTTTTAATGTTATATGGTGGTAAATTGTAATTTTTTTTTCTTTAAAGTTGATTCAGTTATGTTTGTCTTATGTTCCAGGTATTGTTTTTAAGCTTTTAATTAGTATGCATAGCAATAGTTGTAGAAATATCAACAATTTAAAAGTTTAAGCGGCAAATTGTTTTTTTTTTCACTATTTTTAATTGCATTTTGTGTTTTTGCTTTTTCTGTATTTAACAATTTTTAATGAAAAGGTTTTGAGGTTTTTATGTATTTTTGCCTTGCTGCGAAGTGAGAACTGAATTGATTGAATGAGAAATATATCTCTAATGAAATTCGAGGAAATAAGTTTAAGTGAAATTCAACAAAAGATGTGTAAAATGTAAGATGCCGTAGAAGGAAATCCAGTGGTATACGTATTAGATAATTTTTTTAATCTATCGAGTTTAAATTTTTTTAGTGTTCATAAATTTTAAAATTTTCAGCGCACAAATTTTGTTATAGAAGTTATTTTATATTTGATCAAAATCTTTATTTAATCTGCAGAATAATTTTCTAGAATTAGATTTTTTCTGAAAATTATATTTTAGTCTGATACAAATCTTATTTCAAACTGGAAGAGAAACATGCGAAATGAAAATGAAAAATTTATATTTAGACAGAGAAAGCAACTTTATTTTGGCTTAGATTTTAAATAAAACTCTATCGATTTCGTGGTAGATCAGATATAATTCCCTCATCTTCGCCAGCACTGAAATGTTTTTGCATTAAAGAAATATGTTTTTGGCTACTGAAAAAAAGGAACAATGATTTTATAAATAATAACATAAATTTATGCAGTTTTCTGCCATCAGACATGTTTATAACCTTTTAGAAATTTTTAATTCTATTTTCTTCTCTTATTCCTAGAAAGGCAGCTAGATATTCACGTTTTCTATTTCATCGTCAAGGACGCATCCTAAAATGCCAGTGTTGAATAAATCTAGTTGGTGTTAAATATATTCATTTATTCTACTTTAAAGTGAGAAGTATTGTTTGAAACAAAAGCATAACATTCAAGACTGTGTTCTTTCTCTTATTAATGTTACATACATAGTGAAGCATTCCTGTAAATTCCTTAAATAAAAATATGCAATTTGATCTAGTCTGAATTAATTTCCGTATTTAAAGTTATTCTGTTCTCTAAATGCAGATTGAAATTGAGATCGGTAATATTTGCTGACAGCAGATGCAATTCTGTGATTAAATTATAATAGTTTGATATGTGACGCAATTCTGAAGGTGATACAATTAAAAAATTGTTGAAGATATTTGTATGAATGTCAAGACTTGAAAGTTTTAATTTCTCTCAAACAGGAGATTTAGAATGGGGTTTGTTACAAAATCGTAATCTTGACGTAATATCTCCGGAATATTGATAATTTGTGTGTGAATGACTTAGCATACAATTTAAACTCTTGATGCTGAATAATACATAATAATATACTAAGTTCTGTTTAATCATTTGATGCCAGTTTCAAATGATTAAGAAGAACCTTGGTTATTGAAAAAAATGTAATCTTTTTTGTCTTTTTATTAAAAGCTCTGAAACATTTTCTCATTTTTGCAATAGAAAACATCAGGAACTGTTAGTTTGTACAGTTCCTCAGATTCTTCTTAGGTTGCAAATAGGAGATTATTTCTTCTGCTTTTCATCGAATTCGTTATTTAGGAGTTAAAGACCTAGTATAAAAGACCAATTCAATTCTCAGGAAATATATAACATTTTCTGTCAGCATGGATTATTGTGTGCAAGCGAAATAAAAATAACGTTGAAACTTTGCATCAACATACGAGGTTAGTCTCAGAATAAGCAAATTACTAACGATTATAATTTTTTGACCGTTCGGCCAGAATACTTTTACAAAAATGTAATCCGAATATCTTCACCTTCCATATTTCCCCGTGCTTCTAATGTCTAAATTAAAAAAAAGAATTTTACATCAAACTTTTTTGCGAATGTGTTTATTCATGGAATATATCACAGTTTTATTAGTTCTTTTTGCTTTCCTTCAATTTTGCGTTAGAACTGGAGCTATAAGTTCTATGTATTGTAAGAGTGCGGTAAAAGTACAGTTACCGGACTTTATAAGTCTAGTTCACCCAATTCCTTGCTCTTTTTCAAAGCTAACTAAATCTAAGTTTCTAATTAATTAAATAGTACTTTTTAATGTTTTCATTGATTTAAGTAACATGAAAAGATCATAGAGTACGGCTTTTAAAAAGCTAATAATTCTATTTATATAACTCACCTTGTGTATGTGATTACAATGTTCGATAAATATATATCCTTATAGTATTAACGTAAAAAGAACTGCACATTGTATTTGTGTGAATTTCGCTTGATACATGCAATTACAACATGTGCTTCTTTTACAGACAAAGTGAACTTGATTGTGTATTGTAAATTCCCTCACTATGCAGGCCCAAAAGCGGCCAAATGGTAAAGTTGCTGATCGCTGGTAGTTCGATCTGAGGTTCGAATCTCGCGAATGGGCTGGTTGCATGTGCGTTTTCGTGGTTTTTCTATGTGTAACGTGTATACGACCAAGTTTCTCTTAGAAAGTCCTCCACGAACGCGTCCCTTCTTTTAGGCAGATGGCTCTCGAGGCTTTGACGTCACCACATAAACCAAACTAAACCCTCTCCCTGCACTACATTTTTTTGTCTTACAAGATTAAGTAACTGGTATCAGTTCCTTTTTGCTAGACTTTCGAAGCACATATTTCACAATCGCCTTTGTTTCTGTATGTGCAATTGTAGATAAAGTATCATTTTATCCTCTCATAAGTTTAAACTGTGATGCACCTTCTTTAAGGTTCATTTGTAGTTTTTCAAAAACATATTCATTGTTCAAATAAAATATTAAAGTCGGAAAAGGTTCTGTCTGATACATTACGGTAATTAATGTTTAGGTGTACAGGTAATCTAGATCTTTTGAATACTCAGATGGACGTTAATCCCATGTGGTTTGGATAATAGGAGTTTGATTAAAAGGCTGTAAAAGGAAGTAAAACAACTTACTTTCGTAAAAATGAGGCAATGGCAGATTCTCGTTTCAAATGCATTACGTTTTTCGGCATAATAATTACCAGACTAAGATTATTTTTTATCTTAATTTAAGCTGTTGGTTTGATAAGAAGAAATTAATGGAATGGACTTTTAGTTTGCCAGCAAACATCGTAAAGCACTGAACAATGAACGAATAGTTAGGAGTCATGGTCGATTATGTTGTTACGCTCTTACTGAATATTTTTTAATTCTAAATACTGAACTGTGCGAGTGCATGCTATCCAGTCAAAACGCGTGCAATAAAATACGTATGTAATTCATTTTTTTCATTCTTATGTGAAGAATGAAAAGCGTTTCACACAAAACGCTTTTATATCTAGGCTTACAACTGCAATTACTTTTGCCCATTATAATATTCAGAGATAGAGAAAGCAGTAAGCTGAAATTTAGAAGCGATTTAAATTAGTATAGTTTTTCAAAAACTGGTTGATTGAAATTAAGATTACTTGGAAGATAACTCTCAGCTTTGAATCATACCTTCAGGGAGAAATTATGTTACCATGATTAAGAGCTTTTTACCTCAGATATTGCTTATAGCAGCTGCTGGAGCATAAACAATAATTGTATAAACGGTTTATGATGCAATACTTTTGTTTCTAATCCTAATCACAATTGCATTCAATTCACGCAAGAATATATGATTGTCTTTAGCCACTGTTGATGACATTCGGACATAATGTTGGCTGCAAACTTCATTTCTTTAAATGTAGAAGCAAGATACCATATTCTCTGGATTGTTGCCTTAATGAACCAAATAATAGTTCACGTAAAATCAATATATTTTTATCCCTAACTAAAGATTAATTAATGTAAGGTCGTAAAGAGTGCACGTACTTAGTCAATCTACCTAGATAAATCTTCATATTCATATCATTATTTTAACAGAATCTAAGAAACACTGGTCAGAAGACTCGGTAGCTCAAAAATGATCATCAAATTTGAATCGGGATGAGTTTAATTTCTTCGGTAACTAAACAATTAATTAACATATTTCAATAAAATAGAGCTATCAAACAACTTAACAGTAATATTTTTACTTGATACAGAGCCTATTTGTCTGCTGATTAAAAAATCATTTTAGCAAATAAGATAGGACAGAAAAATGTGTAGCTGCATAATAGGAGAGACAGAAATATGTGTAGCTCTACTCGTAAATATGTGTAGCTGAAGAGGTGGTTTTTAGATGTGATAAAGTGGTTCTCTGTTGCCGAGTTGAGATTAAATATGTATGAAAGCGAGCAAGACGACAAAGAGTTTTGCTTGAAAAATTTAGTGTTTTTCCTATGAATAAACAACATATAAGAATAAATATTTCATAGTAGAAAACGTCATGTCTCTTTAGATTGAACAGTGTATGTTGAAAGGAATATGCTTTTAAAATGTTTTCTCTTTTGCAGCTACATTGCTGCGAAAACCTGTGGCCAAGAAAAGCTTTTCTCTGAGTACGGGGTAACTCCAAGGAAGTTTCTTTTCGGTGGAGAGCCTATGGTGTTGTGGGTGAGTGTGCTCATCTTTTATTCTTATAATTTATGTTGCACTTAAAACTTTTTGTACAGTAACTGAAATCTTGAGTTAAATATAATAATCTTAATTAATAAGGTGAAACTGAATTACGAATGAGTGAGAGGTAAAATAAAGAAAGAACTTAGTTATAAATTTCGTAATATATTCATTCCTTCATTAAACAAAAATCTGAATAGAGAGTAAGTATATTTGAGAGAATTTAACAAAGCAGCTAAATATCTCAAATTAAACCGAATGGACACTTTCGGTAACATGGCTAATGGTTGGGATAGGTTAATTTATTACGGTAAAGCATATCGAGCGTTAGTAACCTATGGAAAGGGATGGACCTTTTAAGGACACATGGAGAAAAGCACGAAAACCCACCATACCACTAGCTCATTGGCTGGAATTTGATCTCAAGAGTTTAACTACCAGCGTTCAGCGACGTTACTGCTCCGGCGGTTGTGGGCGAATGCTTAATGGTAGGAATATCCAGTGTTCATAAGCTATGATGCAGCTATATTTGTAACCAATCATTTATATTTTTTTACGTCTTTTACTTTTAAGTACAATTTTTTCATCAATAGAAACATATAAAAAAATATGCATCTTTTGTGGAAAGCAAATTATATGCAATTATGGTCTGTGTTCTTTAATTTGTTTTACATAAATAAGTAGTTTAAATTAAATGTAACATTTTACTATGCATTCGGCAATGGAAGCGAGTAAAATAAATAAAATGGCTGCACATATGTTCGACTATTTATTGTTAAGCAAGTGATACCATTAAGATATCTTTCGACTTTATTAATGTATTATTTAAATGTAAAAAAGAAATAGTTTCAGAGTTTTAAGTTAGATAAATTAATAATAAAATATCTGCGCTTAATTATCAATTTCACAATTACTTAGAAATTTAGTTAGAATCGTAGTTCCGATTTGAGAAATGAATAAAGTAACGAAATGTTTTCCACGGCGACAATTCAGGCACGTGACACTTTTCATAAAAAATACACGGAATTTAAACTATTATACGAACCCTCTGCACTGTGAAGAGAGAAACATAATCTCACAGATTTAAGTAATTTTTTATTAGAGTTCTTTAAAATTAAACAACCAAGTATTAGAATGCGTAAATATGTACGAGGTTTATAACGATTAAAACAACTTCCTTTTTTAAGAAAAATACATTTCATACACCCCTTCTTTCCCAGTACAGTGTGGTTAAACTGAACACGCAATTTTGTGAAATGCTGTGAAAGGCAACTGAGTACGGTAATCTTCCCAGATTACTAGCTGAAATATATTAATAGGCATATCCTTTATGTTGTTAAGTGAGTATCCTTATCTCACTGGTCTGACAGTAAAATCAGATCAAACGCAATAATTTTATCCAGGTGAGGAGTACTGGATTGTGTCTATAGTTGACAGGAACTTTAGGGACATTATAGGCAACAATACCACTTTTCAAAATCCCATCATAATTCTGAAAGAGAATTCTTCGAATGACGGTTTTAAGGATATCCGACACCTCTTCTCATACCATCAAACTACTCTAAGAGGAATTTTAGCTCAATGTGTATTTTAAGTGTTCCTGTGCATGAAGGACAATATGCACTTACAAGCATCAAAGCCATCCCCAGGATTCGAATCCGAACCCAGAGATACAGCGAACAGCACTGTTAACCGACACTGATCATAGAGGCATTATTCGTTATAGTTCATTATAGGCAGAATTAGCGAATCCCTGATACCTGGGTACTATATTGAAAAAGAGATCTTTTTGATGAAAATTATATATGTGTGTTTGAGATGGCATACTTCTAAGTTGAAGCGCATATATCTGTGCATGAGGAATCCTCAAAATAGAAGAGAAACACGCCAAAGTGAAACATAAAGTTTGCAAAGGAACAACCTTGTGTTTGGCGTAGATTTAGTCAAGAACTCAGTCGAATTCAAGGGTAAATAGGTACAGGTCCCTCTTCATCAGGAAAAACGAAAGAGCATTCATGGGATGTTTTGTTACAGCACGAGCATTTTCTCCAATCTTGCAGATTTCTTCGCTACAGGTGAAGAGAGATCTGTACCTATTTGCTTTTGAAACTGATTGAGCTCTTAATTAAATCTACGCCAAACACAAGGTTATTTATTTGCTAATTTTATAATGTAGACCTATTTTCTCAAGGAATGGAGCCAATATTATGAATGTTTATTAATGCTTGTATACGTTTAATGCATAGAAATACTGGAAGATTAATACTTTCGTTTATACAAAGCCCGTTTAGTGGGTCAATAAAATTAAGAGGATATAAATTTAAAAATAGTTTGATTTCTAAAACAGTGGCTTTGCATGGAGCTCTATAAACTCGGTTATAAATATAAAAAGAGCAGCAAATGAAAACAGATCATTTTAATTTATATTTAAAGTATATGAGTAAAAGAAAACAAATCATTTGCATTTGTATTTAAACTAGCTAAACATACTGATCCCACTGCTAACACTATTCACCACAGCTATTAGTTCTGTATTGTTAAATGATATGAAGTAGTTGGGGATTCGATGTTTTATAGTTAGTGAACTGAATTATCGTTGTTTACGTTTGAGCAGCCTATTTCTGTCAGTTAATTTTTATTAAAGCGTATGAAAACCCGTAGTTCAGCACATTTTCCATACACGCTATGAATTCAGAAGATCTTTTGTTACACCACGATCATTATTCGTGTTCCTTTATTTATGTTTATGAGTATACTTAAGGCATCCGTAAACGTTGATATCCTCAGCGATAGAGAAACATATTTTTATTTTATTGATTATTAGACAGAATGTATTTTTAATTTTACGAAGCAAGTTTATTTTCATCTCTGAGTTAGAAGCGAAGATACTGAAGGCTTTATGAAGTAAGGCGATTCGAAATTGAGCAATGTGGTTATTTAATAGGCTGGCAATCTCTTAAGGTCTAATATAAAGTGAAACAGTTTTAAAATTTTAAATTATTCAGCGAGGTTTGAAATAATAATAACAATAATCTAGAAAACAAACATAATTTAATGCCAAAAAAAATCGAAAATATAAATATTTACCTGTTTTGAGCTTGGAAAGAAGTGGAGAAATATTAGTTCTTTAATGATAAGCTTTAAAGTAAATATGCAATTGCAGTTCGCAGGAAGTAAAAAGATTTTGCAAATTATTCAGACCATAAGGTTTGCAGCAATATTCCATCACCGCACAAATGCAAAGCAACTGAAGTAAATTGAAGAAACAAAACATTATGACCATCGACTCAATAATGCATTGCGTGACATTTAGCCTGCAAAACTGCTGCAATTCGCCTTAGCATAGATGTTACAGGTTCGTGATAGATGACTGAAGACAGATTGTGCTAAATATCTAAGCAGCGGTGACACAAAGTTTTCCGACATGGTGGTCAGTTCTGAGCTGGCGCTCGGTGACATCCGAAAATTTTGTCGGATTAAGATCCCGCGAATTAGGTGGTCAGGACATTAACTAGAATTCATCCTTATGTCCTTATTCCGAACACCTCCAACACAATTCGAGCCTTGTGACATGCGGCGTTGTCTTGCTGGAAGACTCCATTTCCAGTTGGAAACACGGACACTATGTAAGGGTGCAATTGATCCGCAGTTATGTTCAGACAATGCGCAGCTTTCATGGTCTGTTCTACAAACTAATGGTGGCGCTCATGAGAACTTCCCCCAAAACATAATACTGCCATCAGCAGCCTGTGTATGACCTACTGGACAAGGGGGGAGCAAGTGTTCGCCTGGAAGACTGCGTATCCTGACATGACCATCGATTTGATGAATGGGAAATTGTGATTCATCCGATCAGGCAACTATCTTCCACTTATCCTTGGTCCAGTCTCGAAGTTCGACAGCCCACTGTATGCGTAGTTGACAATGACGCTTGGTCAACAGAGGCACAGGAGTGGGACGTCTGCTGATCAGTCCCGTATTCAACAGTGTTCGCTAAACTGTGCGTTCCGAAACGCTAGCACTTGAACATGCGCTGTATTGTGTATTGAGCTGTCAGTTCAGTCACTGTCTGGCGCTAATTTTGTTGTACTAAGCGGGACAGTCTTCGACGTCCTTTTTCTTAAATGACGCGTGAACATCCAAAACCTTGGTCATTACTGCTGCGTTCACCTTCATTTATCTTTTTTTACATAAATACCAACAACGGCAGATCATGAACAACTTACCAGTAGGGCAGTTTAGAAGATACTCTTTCCAAGTCTTCGGGTCATTGCAATCTGTCCATCAAATTCACTAAGACCAACAGCCGAGGATGGTCATACTGTTTTGGCTTGTCAATGTATAATTAATGTCCTGTTAGTTCCAACGGCTAATTGAAATGTAAGCAAGCTATAGCTACTGCAACAAAATGCAGAAAATGTCTAAAGGATATCAAAAACCATAACGATTATATGAAACTATGCCATCAAATTTAAATGATTACATGGTCTTATACAAATTTTATATTTGTATCTTCTGTGTTATAAAACTTATTAGTTGCTTACTAAGTAATAATTTAACAAATAAATAACAACTAACAGTAACAACTAACTAATAAAATTCATCTTTATATAGGACAAAGAGCAGCAAAGTGTTCTTAATGCTTACGCATTGTTCTTAATTCTTAATGCTTACGCATAGTTCTTAATGCTTACGCATTGAAATGGTTTTTAGAGCTGAAAGAATTAATTAATGAGACTGCGTATAAATTTGTCATTTAAAAAATTATTACTGAAAATATACCATTTTTTGAAACACTAAATGCTTTATCTTTACATCGTTTTCTAGTGCATGTACGAAAGGAAACTGTGTGAGAAAATAAGTTATAACATGACAAATATTCCCCAAAATATTGTAGTAAATTTTTGATCATTTGTAACATTTTATTAAAATATCCGATAAATGCTAATACAAGCATTAGAGAGCAACATACAGATTATTTTAGGAGTATTTTTTTTTTTTTTTTTTTTTTTTTTTTTTGTTTTTGTTTTTTAGATAAGTCTCAAACTTTTTCATGCTGCTTTTTTGAAAATTTCCATCTTTTTATCAAAAGTGTATTAAATATATTTTAATTAGTTTTAAGCTTAGATAAAAACATGGGTTGTTTCAATGACACATTGCTTATAGATCATTATAAAATGAAAATGTCAAAACATTTATGTTACTCATAACAATTTATGCAAACTGAAATTATGTAGATAGCTGAAATTTAATAATACAATTTTAGTTTTCATTTTTGCTGCAAAAAAGTATATCTAGAGCAACTGCATGGGTTTTGTATTTTCTTATGAGTTAGAGAAGTGGAATATTTTAGGCAAACTACATACTATGTTAGTAAGGTATAAAACTGAATCTGTGTGTTTATTTTCTTAACTTGCATATGCACTATGATATATATATTCAATACTATATTTTAATGCCATTCATCTTTAATGCCATGAATGTCATTCATAAAAAGCAATTATAATGAAGAGTCTGATATTCATCATGAATGTTGTTAGTAAGTGTTTCAGAATACATTTAATTTGATTTATAGGATGTTTCTGTCTTCGATCCAGAGGAATTCCGTGTTGCTAAAACTCAACAGGCCGCGACAAAGATCCAAGCAGCTTTCCGAGGTTATATTACAAGAAAGCGTATAATGGAAGAGAGATGTATTGCTCATTGCGCCGCAACCATCATTCAAGCTGCGTACAGAGGATACTATGTGAGGAAAGGGCTGAAGATACGACAGCGTATTTTGGAGGTATCAGATACATGATTTCATAGTTTGAAATAAGGAAGCTGTTGTAGAAAAATGATCGAGTTATAATTAATGCCCTTTGATAATTTCAGCATATTTCAGCATTACAGAGAAAGAAGATAAACTGATAAAACGCTGTATGTTTTAAAATTAAGTTAAATGTCTCTTTGGAACAACAGAAGCTCCACTCAGACGGTGGTATAAATATTATAGAGGCATTGGTTTAACGTGCGGAAGTTCCGCTCACACCTGCGAGGCAATTAGAAAAACTAAATTTGAGCATGCGTAGATTGTGTCTGCAGTTTTCTCGCTCAATAGGTTTCGCGCGTTCGCTCTAATTGGTCGACTTCTATACTAAGTCCGCATAAGTTTGAAAACTTCTAACTTTATGCCAAAACCCATAAATTAGTTTTTGTGACGTAGGTAAGTCTGGTTACCTAGCAACGGAGCTCGGCTTAAACCAGTTATGATATTTAGACAAACTTCTGAAAGAAGCCTTATGCAGATTAACTTAATGTATAAAAAGAAGATACGTGAATGTACTAGATAGTTGCTATTAAAATTTTAGTTGAATTTTCAACATTCTGCTGCATTACGAACTACTTTTGATACCCTGTTCAGCTGCGTTTTAGAAAATGTTTTGAAGTCAAATTCAGGCGTGAGTAAGAGGACTGATGATATTTCTGTAAAGGGGGGGGCTAAAGTGTAACCTGTTGTGGGTAAGGCTTGTGATAAGTTAAGCAAATTGTTAGTCCTTCGGGAATATTGGTTGAAAAACTGCTTGGATGTGGATGTAAGTAGCCAGAAAATCTGTGCAAAATGCTATTAACTGAAAAGCGAGCATGATTAAGTCATTTATTTAGAGACTTTTAATTTGAAAGGAAATTAAACTTCCTTGAACTGCTTGGTAATTCACTATTTTTTTAATGCTGTAACAAATTTTCCGTTTTGTCTGCGAGAAACTTCATGATGGTTTCATATAAATTTTAGTTATACGTCTGCGTAGCTAAGCTTTATTTCGAAGCATATTTCCAGCTTAAGAACTTCCTACAATTGCTTTGGCTATATTATGTGAAACAATTTATTATTGTGCATTACGCTAGATCATGTATAATGTATTTTCCACTGGATAGGTGGTTGAAAACCATATGAGGAAGATAATGGAGTTCTAAGGGAATGGAAAAGTCCTTAGCCTAAAAAGTGAATATGAATTGTTTGTATTAACATTACTGGCAGTAATTTTCTTCATTTCTTGACTATTTTATTTTAACACTCTTATACCGCTATACATTCTTTGAACAACAGCTAAAATAAATTAAGCTATGTAAATTAAATGTGAATATTATTAGCCTTAACGACGTATAAAAATTTTGAAAACATTTCGGAAGAAGAAAATTCTAGGATGTATATTCGATGTCCATTGTAATAATGAGTTCATGTGATCCACAGTGTGAAAGCAATACGACTCAGTAGATCAACATTCTGCACTTGAAGTTGCTTAGCACTTTAATAAGGAAGAAGGAAGATTGTTTAAATACTTCTATTGCACCTATTGTTTACAGTTCTATTGTACCAGTTCCTTGAAATCGAATAACCGATAAATATTACTGACCATAACAAGTGCTAATTCTCCACAGGACTAAAAAAATTCATTAAATTTAAATGTTTCATATGAAATCCCAATTAGATGAAGTAAAGTGATTTATGCTGCCATAAGCGAAACTCAGGGGCCAAAGTTTTAAATTAAGGTAGAAATAGCTGAAAACTTTCTGCAACTTTTGGCGCTTTCTAAGGACCAAAAAGCAATGATAATTTAAATTACGAAAACTTCCAACGCTTCTGAAAGCACTGGAACTCGAGTACGTAAAACTTGTATATTTTTTCTTGTATTAAGCATTTATCTCTAGCAAACAAGAAGGATATTACCTGAATGTTGCATCTGCTGGGTTAATGTCTTGGTTAACGAAAATCAACACGAGTAGTAATGGAATTTACAGTGTATGCTTGCTCACTTAATACTTGGTATTTCACTCACTGTAGCTTTCCTTTTGCATTTGAGGAGATGATGAACCTCCTAGGATTTTCAAGGATAGAATGAAAGGCTTCGATGTGTCTACACAAGAAAATATAGCGGTACTGTTCTGTTATTAGGACCGCATTCAGATATTGTCAAAAGTTGACGATCCGGCGAAACCTTTGGAGAATAAAACTAATCGCCAAAATATTTAAATTACGATAAATAAAATGCGATGCGGTTAAGATGAAGGGAAATCCAAAATAACAACAGACATTCGTAAAATTCGAAATTTTTAGGGTAAATTAAACAACTAGCCAACGAAAAAGGCTCGTCTGTAGCTAAGAATCTATGATATTTTATAAAAATTTTAAATATGTAAGTTTTTTTCTTTCTTTTCATTGAACTGCTTTTGTGTTGAAAGAAAGATATAGATGAACATTTTGTTCTCGAGAAGCATTGTCTTTTGGAATAAAAATATATTTTGAAGAATTATTGAAACCTTTATTTTGAATTAAAAATATACTTTGAGGAATTATTGAAACCTTTATTACATAAGAGATGGATAAAGCTAAATATTTGCTTGGTATTTACTAAATTATTTATTTATCACATATATCTCATAATACTTTTAAATCCATGCTAAATATGTTTTGTCAACTAACGTGTAATAGTAGTAGAAATTAGTATACATCAACAATAAAATTTAAAACAGAAAGGAGTTAATGATGAAGCATAAAAAATAAAATATGTTTATTTTTATATTTTGGAAGACAATGTACACCCATTACTGTGAAATGTTTTATTTGGAAAACTATAGTACAGAATGTAAACTAGAAATCCAAATTTTTCATTTCTATACCTCGAGTCCCTTAATGTTTTACCATACATCAGAATCTCTTGCTATATTCTCTTCTTTAATGGCAGATACAAGAAAAACACTTTGTGGCAGATACAAGAAAAACACTTTGAAATAAAATAAATTAAATACTCCATGAAAGTGGGATATATATACTATATAATATATATATATATATATAGATTAATCCATTATGTCATATAGTTACACTTGAATTAATATTTTAATGTCTGAGAATTTAAGGAATTCAGTTAAACGCAAATGTTTTGAGACGATAATTCTTTTCAATTAGTCCCTAGGCTCTTTTTTATATTTATGGCAAAATGCTGTCATCTTTGAAGTAACACTGAAACACGTTGACTGGGTTTAATATTATATGCTTAAAATCTAATATCACTACTTTTTTAAGAGACACAATGCCGTGTTAAAGCCTTTTACTCCAAGGATCGATGAAATGGAGACGCTTTATTTGTTTACATAAAAATGCTCCAAAGGCATAAAATGTTATATATTACATTTCTGAAAACCTTTTAGTTATGCTTTTATTACTTTAGTTAGCCTTCAGAAAGAATTTCGTGTAGAAGAAAAGATTTCTATGGAAATGTGAGCTCAGCTAAACAGAATGCTGACTTGAAATGTAAAACGAAGTGAAGTGCAGACTGCATGACGATGGAATAATTAACAATACATTATGACTCGATCTCCGTGACACAGACTAAGCTTTCGCGAGCACATAAGAAACATTTTAAACTAGAATTTAAAAACTTAATAAACTTGTGAAAGTTTGAAAAATCTCAGGGTATTTGATGCAATCAATCTAATTTTTAAGACTTGGAATGAAGTTTAAAACTTAACACAGGATATTAACCGGAGAATCTGATCTCCTATTTCGTAAATAGAGAAGCCATAACCAATGATGTGATCACAGTTTTGCTCCTCTTTTTTATAATCCGTAATGTATTCAAAAAAAGAATGTATGAATTCAAAAAAGAAAAAAAAATTAAAAAAAAAAATAAATAAAAACTTTGAATAAAGAAAATACTGAAATATGGGTGGAGAAATATAAGATTGATGAATGCTGTAGAATTTTATCAGTCCTTCCCGTTCGAGATGAATAGTTCAAAAGAAACCTAGAAGATGAATAAAAAGAGAAAAATAAAATGAAAGTAAATAACAAGATAAGTCTTAGTGTAGGAGTGAAATTATAAGTTTAGATTCTAGACTCTATGGTTGAATAAATGAATTCAGATTTAAAAGAAGCATAATGTTTATAGTATTGTATGGAAGGATGTCAGCGTGAGTATTAGAAAAGAATGTAGCAGACGATTTAAGAGCTAGAAACTAATGTTTCTTAACCAATAAACTGTATAGTTCATGTTATGTCATTCATGTAAAACTTTTAAAGACCAAGCTCTGTTATAGTACTAGGAGCAGTAATAACAATGTTATAGCGCATTCAGATGTTTTCATATTATCCATGCCCACTTGCGTGTTATTCCGTGTCAGCGGATAGAAGTTGATTGTAATTATGTGATCTGTTAAATGGGTCTTAAAATTTTTAGATTTCAAAGAGATCTTAACTTAAATTTTGTTTTAAAATATGCATTCTTTGAATGTACTGCGGTTGTCTTCGGTAGTGTATTTGATATTTCTAAAGCATATAAGGTCCATAAACGTTGTCTTTTAAACTTCTTTTCTAATGATTAACGTTAAACCTTTAAATAAACAGGACCAAGGAAGAAGAAAAAGGAAATCATTTTTAATCATCGGTTTACTGCCCTAAGAGAACTTACTCTTCCTTACGTTTATATAACCTCACATTAGAAATTATTTTTATGCAAACAGATGGGCTATATTCATCTTTTCAATTTGGTCACAAGAGAGTACGAAGGCTCTGCTTAAGCGGTAAAAGAATGTTAATAACCAGGAAGAAAATAGTGCCCTTTTGTTAACAAAAGACTCACTGTTCATCGCCCGAATCGTATGAGCCGCAATTAATAGAATACGCATTCTATGAACATAATGCGAAACATTCTAGTTAGTTTTAAAAATAGCAGCGTACATTACAACAAAATTGCGATGGAAATAAACATTTGGACGTTGTTTAAATATGCACACTACTTGTGCTGTGAAGAGCTGTAATGAAGATGATTGTCACAACAGTAGAGTTAATCACGTACGTTGCTTCGCAGGAAGCCATAGTTAATTGAAACTAGAGTTAATCATAGAATAACGCCAAATATGACTGAGCTTGTGATCAGTTTGTGATTTAATTTAATTCCCTTTGTCTTACAATTAAAGATGCTTTTTATATGATCTGATTTGAATAAGATATTGTAAGAGCAAACTACGAGAGTGGGAACATTAAAATATGATTGCCATTTTTAAAGTAACCAGTACAGTTTCATTAAAAACCTTGAATTTCATGTCGAGTTTAAATTGCATTTTAAACATTTGTAAAGATCTTAATTCGTTAGAAGATTTTATACTTGAAATCCATTAATATATTGATAACAGAAGTAGTTTTATGTAGCTAATTACAAATAATAAAATAAGTGACCTTTTATGTGCAGGACTATGTATATTTTACGTTGCAAATATGCCCTGAAATGCAAAGTATTTTCCCTTCAGATTGTTACGCATAAATAGTACTTAAAGTACTTTGTATTTAATGTGGCCGCCTTTTCTGAATTTATTTCATTTTATTTCGTTTGCTTTTTTTGTATATTTAAATATGTTAACACCGGTACGTATCCTTTTTTGTGCGCGTTCAATTTTTAAGTCAACATTAGGTTATTTACAATGAGTCAAAAAATATTATGGAAAAACAAGGTTTCAGACATGTTTGAAAGAATAATTAAATATTTAATTTAAAAGAAATACTTTTATTAAGGGTTATATCTTAAAATCTGAACAAAATTTTTAAAAATCTTAAAATGAATTTAATTTATTTTCCTCCAATGGCGGGCACTTGCGAAAGACTAGAAATGACCAGAATAGGTGCCAGAAATACTTAAAAATAAATAGATTGGTGAAGTAGATGATAATAAATACATTGGTGCCTAAGGCCAGAAATGGTGGTCATTTTATTGTGGAGGCATTAATAGGTGCACACCGTTCCCTTCTTATTTAAGAGACAGACAATTTTACATCCATGACTTCTCCGGAATTCGAACCCGAGCCCTTGGGTATCGCAGTCAGTCTCCACCTAATCACTGTACTATCTGGGCGGCATTTTTTAAAAAACGCTAAACACATATTAAATTCTACAGTTTTCGTGTGCAAACAATAATGCAATGCTAAAACATTTACAAGAGCACACAAATATGTTGATTGTAATTGTTCTAATAATGTTTTGGGCCACCTTTCCTTTTCATGAATTACTTGAGCCTTGGATTTCATAAGATTTTGATTGAGATCAGTTTCTGTTTCTCTCCTTTATATGATGAGTTTTTCCTCGAAGTGCATTTATAATGGAAAATCCTTTTTATTAATTTTGACCTGCAAATAACTCCAAATATACTCAATAGGACAGAAATCTGGATTTAACACAAGAGTTTTGATTACATGGGGATAGGTACACAAATCCACAAATATGAGCATTATGCTTCAGATCATCGACTTGATAAAGTTTTAATGCGATAATATGCCAATGTTTTGTAGGCTATATTTCAAACTTTATTTTAAAATATTCAAATACATAAAATTATCACTTTTGCCAAAATTAAAATGTGGAATTTAAAACCGCAAGCACTCATATAGTCCAAGATCATATGGGCCGCCCACCCGGTATACGTTAGCGTCGCTGACTGCCGCGTCGAAGAGTCCGGGCTTGAATACAGGAGAAGTCATGGGTGTTTGTAATTGCATAGTGTCGACGCAGCAGGTCGATACACTAAATATGTGGCTAGTCGAAAGTCCTATCATCTTCCTACCTCCATGAGTCCTATCGTAGGGTTTGGTGGAAGGGAAGAGAGATGGGAGACCCTCGGAGCCGTCCCCACGGGGCGCTTCCCATCAAAACTGGGGGAAGAACTGAGCCAAATTTCGCAGTCACCTGTTAAGTGCCCTAGGTTGCCAATGACAGGCGTAATCTAGCGCTCCTTGCCACAAAGAATTTCGTAGGCCCAGGCTGACGACGTCGGAAAATTGAGCATAAGCAGCAACAACAACAACAAGATCATATGGCCGCCTCCACCATGTTTTACTGAAGAATTAAGGGTTATTATTTGAAGTTCAGTGCTAGGGTTTGGCCACAATAATTGCTTTGAATCATACTCAAAATATTAAATTTACTTTTACCTGCAAATAAAGCCGGTTCTAAAAGATTCTGAGGTTTTTTATTACAGGTTTCAGTAAATTATAATTCTCTTGGTCGATTTTCGTTACTGAGATTTTTCTAGTTATAAGGCCAGAAAAATTACATTTTCTCAAGGTATTTTCAACTATTTTTGCATTATTAATGCTAAACATTTGTTGGGCATTTAAAGCTAAGCTGCCTACACTGGTTTTAAATTTTTATATCATGCTTACGAGGACCATTTTTCTTTGCGTGCATTCAATCTTCTTGGATGCCTTGCTCTTGCTCATAGTTTGTTTCCAAACAAATGTGTTTAACAGTATTTCAGAATTAAATTGAACATAATATTTTATTTTAAATTTAGTAGTTCAGCTATTTTCTTCTCAGGATTCCAATGAAAAGATGCAAGTTTGCTTCTATGAAAAGGACTCTTAATTTTTTTTGTCTCATGTCAAAAAAGTATTTACTAAACATTAAATTCAAACTTTAACTTTTCTTCGTCTAAGAGTCGTCTTCCAGATGTTTACATCGGCAGAGAGGTAAAGTAAAGTCGCTAGATACTCATAATTCAATCTGGCGACCGAATCTCGGCGATCGGGCCCGTTGAATAAGCATTTTCGTGATTTTTCCTATATGTATATGAGCCAGTTTTCTGCTCACCAGCGGCCGAGCGGTAAAGTCGCTGAACACTGGTAGTTCGGTTCGAGGTTCGACTCCCGCGAACGGGCTGGCTGCATGGGCGTTTCGTGGATTTCCCCATGTGTAACGTGTATACAAGCCAGTTCCTTTAGAAAGTCCTCCACGAAGGCATCCCTCCCCTTAGGCAGATAGCCCTAGTGTGCTTTGCCATAATTAAATAAACCAAACCAAACTCTTAAAGTTCTCCATGAAAGAATACCTTCTCTTAGGCAGATAACCCTAAGGTGCTTTGCCATAACCATATAAAACAAACTAAACTAGGTGTTTTACTAGAAACGTCTGTCAGAACTGGCTCTTTTGTAACATTTATAGCACATTTTAACATTCATTCATAGTTAAATGCAAGGTATTTAAAATATTTCATTTATTTAATAGGCTTACTTAATATGGTTCCTCGTAATACTTTTAGCATGGTATTTAGATCCAAAAAATACTTTGTTTTAAAATAACGGCTGAATTTTTATCAGGAAATGGTTGAAAGTTTCTTATGTTCCAGTACTTTTTTGAGTCACTGCATATATTACTATCCCGAATTATCCCGAATTTCAAACAATAATATTTTGTAATTTATTTCCTGTGTCTTGTAATTTATTTCAATGTACCTGCAAGATACACCTTTTTTTGGTAAAATTGCCAGATAAACTTTGTGATGTTTCGTAGTTTGGAAAAGAAGATATATATTTTTGTCTTTTATTTGTTATAGTATATGTATTACACATATATAGATGTACATACACTTACATAAATATCAACTCTACTTGATTTATACAATGACGGATCACAGATATTTGTAGGTAAAGATACAAGTGAAGTTATTACTGATAGTTTCTATTCCGTAAGCACCAATGTAAGTCCTTAAATCCCTATTGAAGAAAGGAGTAAACAATAAATTATCTTCTCAGTTAGCTCACAGAACCAAACGTGCCCAAAACTAGAATGCATTATTATTTCTACTCATTATTGTACTATACTTTACTTAAAGCATGTTTATCATCCTTTTCTATTATAGAAACACACACACGTACAGAAAACAAAAACAAAACAAAAAATTCAGAATTTAAAATAAAGTGCTGTTTTTTAGCATCTGCAAGTTTTTTGACTAATGAAAAGAATGCTTAGAAATTATCTGATGTTTTTTGTTTACGTTATTTTAGAGCTAATATTGTATTTACAGATGATTTGTTGATATGCTATCATTTTAATGTTTTATTCTATTATATAAATATTTGCTGCTTAAAATTAATTTCTATGATATATCTGTTCTTCAGAAAGGTGAAGAAGGGAGCAAAACTTCTATTATCCAAACAGGCAGTATAAATGCATTAAAACCAACAATTTCCACCCGATCGATTAAAGCCCTCTGGAGTTACGAGAAAGCAAGCAGCCGATCCGAAGTCATCTATCTTCTGGGGGCATTCAACTCAGCCAAATTAGAGAAAGGTCAGCTTTTTATCTGCCCTAGACGACAAGGACAAATGCACACTATTTTTCTCTGTTAATTGAAAAAAAAATATTTGTATGCTTTGCATTTCAAAAAGAAACAAAGACACAAAATTAAAAAATCAGAAAGAGATCAAAATTAGCGAATTTAGAAAAAAATATGTATAAGTTGTATTCTGGAAAATAGCTCCCTCATCAATGCCTTTTGCGAAAGTTTTAAAAGACCTCACTTTCTTATTTACACAATTTATTCTTTTTATGTAATGTGTAAAATAGAAACGCAGTCCATCGAAAACTGTTTTGTTCAAGAGAAACAGTACGAGGACACGATACGTATTTACTGTTCTTGCATATTATCTGTCCTCCATACTTGCATCAAACTATCTTTATATTCACCGATACCTATGCAATGTTTGTTATTTGCACAAATAGATCTGACAAGGCGTGCTCAGAGTTTTCCAAAAGTCTTCTGTCAGCTGTTTGAATAATTTAAAAACATGTACTCCATTTACGAAAACACATTATGGTTATGTTTGCGAATTTAAGCATTGTCTTTGAATAAATGTTCAATGACTCTCTTCATTTCCTACATATGAAGGCAATAAATTATTCTGCAGCATGTATGCTGGCTTGTATCTTCCATTCTCTGAGTAGGAAATTCACCATTGAATTTGCTAATATTTAAATTGAATTTCTGTCTCAAAATAATTTAATAAATGTTACGATTATGTAGATAGGTAGATCTAAATTTTACAAAGATTAAAACTGATGGTGATGGATCTTTGTATATGTTGTCTAACTCATTTATTATTATTAAAACGTGAATCATTCTGTTTGCTTCGACTGTGTTATTGGAAAGTGAAATAATAATACAAATTCTATATTTTCTAACAGGTCAAAACAGAATTTTCATTTTTGACGTAAAAGATAAGGAATGGCACGCTCTTTCTCAGTGCCCACAACCCATGCATGATGTAAAAATGGCTTCAATAAAGGAATTCTTATACTTTATAGGTACGCAATATTTTTATTACGTTTGATTTACTTTTTCCCTAATATATTGAAATCGTACAACAATTTCTAGAAGATAAAATGAAATAATAATAATTCGTTATTATCATTATTATAGTATAATGGAAAGTTTGAAACCATTTTTGATTGTTCCGCATTTTCAAATAATGCAATCAAATCAATCTATAAGTAATAAATCTAATAAAATCTTACTTTTGTATAATTTGCCCATTACTTGACGAAAGCGGCCATTTATCTCTTTGCTAAAGTGCGCTGTCCGTAAAGGTAAGTCTATTGCAGGCAATACACAGCTGTTGGAGATAGCGGTGCGGAATGTATTCAATAAGGAAAACTACTTGATATGGGTATTTTGTGAAATGAAAAAGGCAGGTGACTAGACTAGGACCTATCAGCTTCTATGAGATTTGTGTTTTTGTGGCTTGAGTAGAAACTTCCCAATCTTCATCCATAATATATTGAAAAGTACCTCATTTTACGTTAAAACAGGCTACTTGCTGTCGAAGTACATCTTTCAATAAGAACGTGTGTCAAGAACAAGTTGTGTATTGAGCGTGACATTGTTTAGTTTCAAAGTAAATGCAGTCTTCAAAAAGCTTCTGCCATCCATGCATGGAATTTCGTATGTAGATGATCTGCAGATACGATGCTAAGGAATGAGACATCAAGGAATGATATATAGGGAAACGACTGCAGATCGCTCTGAACAAAGTTATTAAATGGGCCACTAATCCACTCAATGGAACTATTTAAATATAATTTAAATAGTATGCTGTATAGTTGGGCTGTCATCAAATACTATTTAAAGATAATTTAAATAGTACTTGATGACAGTCCAACTATTCTGTTTGGATGCTTGTGCTGGATGACGAAAACATCATGTCTTTGCCCATTTAGGGAGTTTGATATCTGGTATTATAACATAGCCTGAAACCCAAATACCAAAGGGAGAAATTATGCCCGTAGAGAAAGTTGCTCATATTCACCCTCTGAAAATTTTCAGCAAACTGAGCAAGTAGAACACCAGTGATCGTTTGCATAAACAACATTTCTGTGTCCACATATAGGAGTACCATATCCATAACCCAACATAAACAGATTACATCACACTGTCGAGGCCATCTGTCGAGGCTGGCATCTGCTTTCATATATAAAAGTTTCGTGAAAGGTTTGAGGCTCTCCTATGAATGAAGTGTTTGAAATTTTGGCTGTACGACTTGTTCTTTCGTTTACTTCTGGGCAACACAGGAAAACATTTATAATGTCCAGATTTCATTCGTTGAGTGTTCTGATGTTTTCAGTCCTTTAGGAATTGAATTACTGAATTTATATGAAGGTTTAAGGCTAGAGGATACCATATCCTTTTGCTGAATACTAGATCTGTTGTATATAGGGTAACAAATTGGCAGACATAACGGCAAAATCTGCAGTTTATGTATCCTGTAGACCAATTCCATTGCCAGCTATGAGCTCGAATATTCGTAATAAAATGCTCAATAAATGAGAGGCATTCTAGGATATGCAGGATTGTGAAATCGAAAATGAGAAATCTGGAAAATTATTCCAAAACGAAAAGAGGAAGTTCTTTTGACAGGTTAATCATACTCGGTTGACAGCCAACAACTTTTAGAAGGAGAGGACGCACATTAAGTTTTAGAAATTGTAGCATTTCTTTGAGTATGCGTCATTATTTATTGGAATGACAGACTCTTAAAAGTCTTAGTTTAACCAATTTGGCAGTTTTAACTTTATTTTAATTGGAAAGCACCCGCATTCAAAGTGAAAAAATTTCAGAGATCATTACAAACAGAAATAGGGATTTTTTTTTTGACAGATTTAAGAATAAATCACACTCGGTTGACACACAGCCACATTTTAAAAGAAGATTACGCACATATTTTTAGAGATTTTAGCATCTATTTAAGGGTTCGTCATTATTCACTGGAATGACAGTCTCTTAAAAGCCTTCGTTTCAGCTTTTTTACAGTTTTAACTTTTAACTGGAAAGCATCTACCTTATCAAAAATTTTGAACATTGGTTAAATAAATTCAAAATTTTAACAATTTTTTCAATTTATTTGATACAGGTTTTACCAATTGGTTTAAATTAGTTTAACGCTTACATGTAAATAATGATGATTTTCACTGTACATCAGCCGTAGTTACTCAACAAGCATTCTCCCTTTTCATATATTTTAGCTTTTTATGTGCTTCATGCTATAAAATTCTCTGTTCACTTTAATTTCCTTTTGTTTCTTGAGGATATTTTCTTCAGTTTCACTGTCCTTAAACTGTTTGTTTTTTATTATTGTTGTCGGGGCTTACTTAATTCGGCTTTATACATCATTGTATGCTTATTGCAAAATTTTTGCTCATACATTTGAATTATATTTTACCATCTGTTTAGTTAAACACAACTTTATAGGTTCCAAACCCAAAAACCTATTAAACAATGGCAAAGTAACGGATATGTTAAGATGATTTTTAACGCTACAATTACGGAAATGGCCATTTTTACCGTAAAGGAAATTAGATTGTTCATATTACGTTCAATCTTTTTAAATATATTTTAACTTTTTCTAAATATATGCCAAGATGATAGAATAATTTATTTGACATAATTCAAATATATTTTTTATATGTATCACCTAGAATTATTGCTTCTTCTTTCATATTTAGTGAAAGGTTAATTCGGATTGCTATAGAAATGTTTTGACGTCATTTGTTTGGGTTTTCGATTTATTTTCATGCCAGATGACATTCGACAGGTGGTTAGAATAGAAGTGAAACTGCCCCTTCCCGAAATGATAGTGGGCCAATCGGGTTTCATGTTTCTTGTCTGAATATTAAGTTCTTCGTGGAATAAACCATAGTACAATAAGAAAACAAAGACAAATTAAATGTTTCAAAATAATGAAGTTCAGTTAAAAGGGGAAAAATAACAACTGATTGTATAGTGTATAAAAACGAAGTTATTTCAGCAAATGCACACAACCTCTTCAGAAGACATCCTTTTCAAAATGTTTACGAGAAGCTGATAAAACCATATCACAAGTCCAAGAAATCTAACCTGGAAATTTTCACTCATTGAGTTAGATGTTTTTGCTAGTCTTGTGGCGCCTTGGCTACTAAGAACTTTCTATTTTGAGTTTATGATTCAAATCCTGGGCGTTCTCTAAACTCTAATTAAACTACTAAGAGATTCTTGAAAATAACTGAGTTGAAAATAATTAGATCGATTTGAAGATTTCAAACTTTTTCTTTTGCTCCTCCTTCAAAGGTATGGAATACCTTTGTTGAGGACCATTTATTGTGGCACAACACAGACGAAAATGTTACAATTGATGAAACATTTTCCTACTAAGGCAAAATGCTCCTTTATACAATAAATGCCCCCCCCCGAAAAAAAGGTAAATTTCACAAAATTTGACTTTTAGTTGATATAAAAATAAAATATTTTGTAAATGGATATCTTTATTTGGGAAAAAAGAAACTAGATCAATTGAATAAAATATTGGAGAGCATGGCCATTTATCGATTAAATGAGCCCTTTTATATGAGTGGAAGAAATACTGCTTAGGACAACTTTTTTACTTCTTTTAATTAAGAAATAAAGGAGTTAGTTACATTAGCACAGTCAATCGCAAAAAAATATTTTGTGTAGGGTATGATTTTAATGCTAATTCTTCGTTTTTCAAAAGAGAAACTGCTATTATATAATTTTCTAAATAAGAAAAATAAATTAAAACCATATTTTGAAAATTTTAACTGTAGAACGAAAAGAAGCTTAATAATCTAAATTATATCATATTTTATTAAAAAAACCGTAAACGCTATATCTCTTCCAATAATTAATTACACTGGTTTCCAAAAATTAAGGGCAAATCCCAAAACTGGCGTTAAGCTGTTTAAAAATAAGCTAGTCCGTATAAAATTTGAATATCATGTCAAATGAGAATTGTCGATTAAAACTGCAGTATCCAATTAAGTGGCGCTGCAGTCGAAATACATCATTTTTGAGGAGCATAGAATTGCATATCTGAGAGGAATCCTACAAATATAGCTATGGTACTGAAATCAGAAATGTGGGATAACCGATTCGTAGCAATGACCTCCAGGCATCATTTGCCCGAAGAACTGCGATGGAGAGCTAATGGGTGACTGGAAGCAGGATAAAGTCTGACCGAAGTGGCCAGATAGCTAAATGTCAGTACTATTGTTCATAGACCTTTAGTAAAACAATTTCTAACCACGTATTCGGCATCCAAGAGGTTCGGCAAAGGACGACCAACCACTACAACGAGCACCTATGATAGATATTTGTTGTTATGCTCACGAAAGAATGGAACCGCATCTCCAACTACACTCAGATCCTCTCTTGCTGCAGCCAGCAAGAAGTTGGTGTCAACTTCAACTGTGCGTAGAAGACTGTACAAGGAAGGTCTGTACGTGTGGCGACCAGCCATTTGCGTTTCGCTCAACTCGCATCATAGAAGGAAACGTTGAGGTGGGCGCATTAATATGTTCACTGGACGGCTGATCAATGGAGGGTTGTTATCTCGAATGAATCCAAGTTTATCCTACAAAACAATAGTAGGAGTTATTTTATTTGGAGAGAACCTGGAACCCATTATCATCCATCAAACATCCGTGAAAGAGATGCATGTGGATGAGCCAATGTCTATGTCTGGGATGGTATCTCTTTGGGTGAATGCACAGATCTCCATATCTTTCCACGTGCAACATTGAATACTCAGACTTATACAGATGACATCCTTGATGCTTATGTGCGTTATGCCGAGGTAATGGGTGATAATTTCCTGCTGCAGGACAACAATTCTAGACCGCACAAGTCTTGCATCGTGGATCCATACTTCAGCAGCAAATAATTCAGTGCATACAGTGGTCAGCTCAATCACCGGATCTGAATCCTATCGAGCATGTCTGGGATGCATTCTATATGTAAATTTTTGAGTAATAGTCAG